CCACGCCGAGAAAATTATGTTATACGAGTCCGCAATCTAACCAACTGAGCTAGACAGGCTGTTAAATTTGACTGGTAAAAATCGATACTAGTATGAAACCATCTTGTATTTCACTGTTTGTAATTATGTACACCCAATACCCTTTTGTGATGCTCGATAGGTTTATACCACCTTTGTCTAACAATTATTTTATAGGATCCAAAAAACAATAGCCTTTTGTGATGCTCAATAGTTTTCCCACTTTTGTCAAACGATTTATTCAAACAAAAATTTTATAGGGTCCAAACAAGTAGCTTTGCATGAACAACGTCTAAAATAAAAATTTCTCTCCAATTTATTCGCGAAATCGTGCGGACTTATTCGCGCAAACAAATATTCGCGCTTCGTGGCCATCCGCGAATAAAGCGAATATTAATTGGTCGCGAATATTCGTTGGGTTACAGTATGTAATAATTTTCCTGTGTTTTTAATCCACCGGAATTCTACCAAGGCTCTGCCTGGATCGACCGTGGCTCTGCCTGGGTAAACCTGGTCTCTGCCGGCGTAATCCGGGAACCACACTGGGGAAGCGCCGGCATGAACCGTATCTTCACCTGGGCTCTGCCTGGATGGTCCGTATCACTTCCTTGGTGGTTAGTTGGGAATTACCGTAGTAACTAGTGGTAAGTGTGACTGCAACAATAATTTCACCCAGGATCATCCCCGATCATCTCAATAATTTACCGGGGTGGTCCTGGGCTCAGCTGGGAGTAAGTGAGACTGCAGCATAAGAATCAAAGTATATATTGGGGAGGGACAGAGACTCTCTCAAAATTAGGCTACCAAATTAATGAAATTAATTTTTCTAATATTACTCTCAATGCTCTCAAATAATATTTGATGTTTCCTTACTGTCAATAAACCATCACACAGTCCACTGAACAGATTAACTTATATTAAATTATTCATCAGCAACTCAATAAAACATGAAATTATTTCCCTATGGATGGCAATTAAAATCATTAATATTGCTATTTTGTATCATATTTTGTACTCATATTTTGTACCATTTTCATCAAATATATATCTAAAACACTATTAGTGCATCACTTTTACCATTGGGGTTTAAACTATATTTTGTCAAACGAAATGCTTCCATTTTTCAAATTTGTTGAATCTAGTTTGATACATTTCATCAGGACCAACTATCTTTTAAAACAGTGTATCCATCGGACATGTACTGCCAAGGGTGTAAAGATTCAAAATACATTGTATAATTTTAATTTAGTGCAATTTAAGTCCTAATTATAATTTAGTGCTTTTTAAGTCTGCATTAATTCCCTTAAATTTATTGCTAAACAGTGCATGTTAAGAAAGGACCAACTTTACTTGTCCCCTAATAGGGAACACAGCTTCCCATACATAGTTTATTTATTCTTTTACTTAAATTAGACATATTCAGTAAGAATTTAATATATTTCAATAAATTTCTGTGATTAAGTGTTTTACTCAAGAATGAGCACAGTATTTCTTTAAAGAAGAAAGGTTTTACATATAGAATAAAGAAAAGAATCTCTATGCATGTTTTATAAATCTAAGTGGACACTTTAAGGAATCTCAACTGTTTCTACATTATATCAAAGTCTAGACAAATTAAGATTTTTTTTTTTATTGAATTGATTCCAATATTCAAAATAACGTTTTTTTTCTAAAACAGAAATCAAGCACAGTGATAACCCATTTCCTAATTCAGTCAAAAATGAAAACACAATTGCCAAATAAAATAATTCAATTTACAATATATAATGAGGATGCAATCCATCATATTAATGTTCTCAAATATTTATTTCATTCCATAACAATCAAGATTATTCCAGACGAAAAAAAGTAAGAAAAAAAATAAGAACAATATTCTGGGAAAAACCTATTTATTGGTAAATAAACCCACCCAGTAATTGTCTGTGTATGAGCGACAATGCTACATTCTGTTTCCATGGTAACCAGAAATCAAATTGCATCAATCATACTGTTTCATAACATTATATAGAACAACAGTGTTATCAAAGTGTTGAGATACAAAATAATTTATGTATGCTGGAAATTTTCAATCTAATCTTAAAACAAGGCCATGAAATTATTCAATCAAGTCTTTTCCAGCCAAACAAACAAGCCAAAAAATTTTTGGAAATATTTAATCTAATCTAATAAATGGCCAAAAAACATGTTTCTGTTAAAAACCATAAATAAATTTTACAACACCTACAATAAATAGATTTTTAAATATCTAAAACTAGAAATGTGCCCATCAGGCACAGATCCCCCCCCCCCCCCACTCCCATTTTCCACTGTTTTGTCATTCTACAGACGGACAAGTGCAAATCTAAATGATGCATAGATAGCTAGCAATATCAGGTCATTAACATAAAGGCCCATCTGCTTATTTATCTGATTATATTCTCTAACTGCTTCAAAAATAAACTGTCAATGAATTCAAATTTACATGACCTTGGCATATAATTACTACATAGACCTTTTCAAGTAATTTCACAAGTCCTTTTGATTTTTCTATATAGAATATTTTTTCTTTATTTTATAGAAGGTTACTTACTCTGGTTCAGAATCACCATAAACTTACATTATTTGTTTTGGCCTTTATTTAGATAATACTTATAACCGATTTTCTTAGAATTTAGAAACTGATGTAATAGAAACAAGAAACATGGCAATGCCATGAAACCAGGTTTTCAATTATCACCATTGTAGATAAATATGTTGTATTTGAAATACAAATACAAGCAACAAACAATGTAACTATGTGCAATGTAAAACATGAATAATGTAGGAGGAATTGCCACTGAAGAAGTGTTCCACTATAATATTATGTATAAGGAAAAAAACAAAGGGCCATAATTAGGTCAAAAACTATCCAATCACAAAACCCCCAATATGTGCCAGGGTGCTTGATGACAAAGCTTCTGTGAAAGTTTGAACAAAATCCGTTGAGAAATGTAGGGACGAGTTCAGCACAGAAGAATTTGTTCACTATAATTATATTGATAATTCTGTATAATGAAAAACAAGTTACAAAGTAGACATGAAATAATATATCATATCTTTTTTAAATTACCTCCAAAGATGATATGACCTTTGACTGCCAAATCAAGTTAAAATCATGTAAACAGGATTTTCAATGTTAATGTCACTGTGACCTTGACCTTGGAGCAGCCATGCGGAACATGCGTTCTGCACGTCATCTTTGATGTGGTAAACATTTGTCTGAAGTTTCATCAAAATTCTTCAAAGGGTTGAAGAGTTACAGAGCGGACAGGATTTTCAATGTTAATATCACTGTGACCTTGACCTTGAGCCAGCCATGCGGGAACATGCCGTTCTGCACGTCATCTTGATGTGGGTAAACATTTGTCTGGGAAGTTTCATCAAAATTCTTCAAAGGGTTGAAGAGTTACAGAGCGGACAGGATTTTCAATGTTAATGTCACTGTGACCTTGACCTTGGAGCCAGCCATGCGGAACATGCGTTCTGCACGTCATCTTGATGTGGTAAAACATTTGTCTGAAGTTTCATCAAAATTCTTCAAAGGGTTGAAGAGTTACAGAGCGGACACAATTTCGTTTGACGCCCCCGCCCGCCCGCCCATCCGCCCAGGCCGCCAATCCGCCCGCCATACCCCAATCTAATAACCAGGATTTTCAAAATTGAAAACCTGGAAACAAGGGTGGTCCTACATTTTCCTTGGATCTTATACATTTTTGACATAAAACAGGTGTTTATTAAGTCTGGAACAGTACAAGCTGCTGTGGAGTTTGCATTTATGTTTACGACTTTGGATGGTGCGAATATAAAATTTTAGATCAAAAATTTCTGAAACGAAGTTTGCAGCAATAAATTCTGATTGTCTACTTAACAACAATTGCATCTACAAATGTACCTTTGTAGATAACAGGGCTCCAGATAATTTTTTAGGGCAATGAGTATTTACTCATTGATTTTGTTGTGAATGAGTAAAACTTGAAATCTGAAATTTGGCAGGAGTATTTTTACTCCTTAAAATGTATGTAAAAGAGTAAAACATTTATTATGCTTCCATGTTTATTGCATTATCATACTTGTAATACAAGATATGTCAAAGTCATTTCTTTTGCTTTTTGGACTTCCTTGGTTTACAATCTTGCATTTCCAAACGGCATACGTTTTATCTGAACCTGAGGCATGTTTCTGTTGCTCATACGTGGCAGCGCTAATTATTTCATTAATTATAACCTTAACCGATTTTTTTCGGCATAAAATACGAGTCAATCGTTTTAACTTTTGACAGCGACATTGTACCGGATGTTTATGAAATTGTGTTAATTCCACCACCTTACTATACATACGATACCATCCGATGATAGTCGGAACTACAGGAAGTTTCCGTTAGACCTTGCAAAGCATTCATACGAAGTTAATTCCACCACCATACTATACATACGATAACAACCGATGATGGTCGGAACTACAGGAAGTTACCGGTAGACGCTTGCAAAGCGTTCAGACGAAATTAAAAATAAGATAATCACCGAGTTTACTTTCGGTTACGTTTACGCGAAAGAAATGTTGCTAATGCGTAACCTGAATTTTGTGTGCGTTTTCATACGCTTAAATTTTGTTTTGAATGCGTAAACGTGTTATTTCCATGCGTAATTTACGCGTATACGCATCTTATCTGGAGCCCTGAGATAATATTGAACATTCATTCAAACACCACTGAAGTTTCAGGAAGAAATTTTATTAATTCCCAAGTCTAAATCTCAATGTAAAGTATATCTTGGCATGTAATTTGCAGAATTTCTGAATAGTCCCGCTTATATTTATGGAACTATTTACAATCAATTTTTGGCGCATCAAGATTAAAATTTCAAGTTTAGTTAGCCAACAGTATATAGCCTGTTCAGGCAGCAACTGGAATGGTAAAAATTATCTGCTGGCCAAAAAGCCGCTACAAACATATAAACTTTGTGTACCTGAAAGCATCTCCGCAGGCATTTAACAGCTTCTTCCCCATCATTCTCATTGAATGATTTAACCTGGCACGGATCATCATCCTGGTGATTGTCCCTGTCGTAAAGATACCCAGATATTCCTGCACCGATGTCATGGAATTCCACAGAACTCCGAGCATTCGCAATTTGCCCTTGGAGTGGAGGAAGGTTGGATAAGTCCATTTCTTTATAGCTCACCAAATGCTTTTCAAATCAGATTCCTTCAATAACATCATTGCATACTTGAATGTTCTACCATCTTCTTTTAAGCCCTGGCTGAAAAATATAGAGAAAATTAATTGTACATCAATTTATAAGAGCTCTGCATGTTAAAGCATTATAGAATCTACTACTAATTTATGCTGTCATAAGATTTTTTGTATTTCGCACCAACACAGTAAAGGTCATATGGCGACTTTCATACTTTACTGGTGAAGACAGACCTTAGGCACAAACAGGCACCTGATTAGAACTACCAACGTTCTGTAAGCCAGCTGAATACTTTCCTCACAAGAAAGAATCTAAAGTCCCTGTCGATTATGTTGACTCGGACCAACATTTTACAAACCTATGTCTAGCTCTTGACAAAGATTTTACACTTAGTGTTACAATGACCTTGACCTTTGACCTTTGATCTAACAATATATTGAGGTCACCAACAGTCTATGGACAATGTTACAAACAAGTTTCACAAACTTTCACTAATTCTTTCTCAGATAATTGATTATTAGAAAGGGTTATGAACTATTTCAAGTGCCAATGTGACCTTGACCTATGACCTAATGACTTGATAATCAATTACATGTAGGACCGTCTACTGGCCATGAGCAATGCCAAGATAAAGTTTCACTATGACCATGACCTTTGACCTATTAAAATTGGATCATCTACTGGCCATGATTATCCTAAAATATAAATTCCTACATTGTATGAAGACAGGAGACTCAAGTTATTAAATGGACAAAGATGTGGCTAATGGATCGATGGATAGACAGACAAGCACATAACACGAATATTACCAAGTGATATACAAAATAATCACTACAAATGTATATTGGTGTCACCATCAAATTCATACCATGCAATAGATACATCCTATTTTCTTCCTATTTTCTATAAATAAATGAACAAAAACACAATGACATTTAATAATAAGAATTTATTTTTCAGAGACCAACTTTCATCTAACTGTATATTGTATTTGAAATAAAAAATAATTGATTTTAAAAGCTAATCAACCAAAAAAAAACTCATTAAACTTGTATCTATAAACTGTAACCTACATGCCATAAAGAATTAAGCTAAAGCTATGGATGAAAAAGTTAACTTTATTGCAGTAGAAAAATAGACTTACTTTGAAGTACCAGTAATTACTATTACTGCATGCAACCCCAGCTCATTATCACCATATAAAATATAGATGGCAGAAATGTTTTCCCTGACATGTCAAAGTCAGAGTTTATTGATTGGAAGAACATTATTATTACCAGTAACCTCCACTACATAACGTTTCCATTAAAAGTGACATAATTTGTTCCATTAAATGTAACATTATCATTTAGCAGACTTTTGTACATGTACTTGTACTTTGATCATACCATTAAAAAAAACCCTCCTTGTCTCATGTAAGAATATTTTATTTCTTCTTTTCTTTCTTTCTTTCTTTCTTTCTTTTTTTTTTTGAATTTTAAGCCCTAAAAGTGGGTTGCCTTATCCCTCAATTTAGAGCCAAGGTCAGATTGCAGTGGGGATTTTTTTTCTGGCCCATTTTAATGACTGATAATTACTTCATGATCCCAATGCCAAAAAGTCAAATTACTACTTTGTTTACATTTTTCTACTTTTATGACAAGCAAATTCATATTCAACACTACTTTTTTCTGTCTGTTGGTAAGCATCTTACAATGCTGTAAAAACCTTTATTTAAACACCATAAATCACATGTTTGACCTAGTTTCTAAAGAATGAAAACATTTTTTATAGTCTCCAAGGCATAATGTGCCTTTAAATCATTTTTTTTTTTTACTTAAAATACTTCAAATCAAATATGGACAATGCAAAATTCAACACAAAATATGTCCCTTATTCAAAGAGTCAGTTAAGTAATAGAAAGAGCACCGAAACACGAGGTTATCTGATTTGTACGAGGGGGCGTAGCCCCCGAGTATTAATCAGATTACCAAGTGTTTTGGTGTTCTTTCTCTTTTGTATCATAGTCAAACATAAAAACACGTTCCCTGTTGTCACAAAATGAAACCCCGGCAAAAATGAACCAATGAACAAATATCTGAATATGATATATCTGTCGCTTTCCCTTTCTCTGCCGTCACAATATGTAAACCCCGGCAAAAATGAGCCAATCAATGGGCATGCTCTGGAGTGCAGGTAACTAATATCCGCACTCCAGTTAACGCACTGTGCATGAATATGTATACGATTTAACCCTGAAACATTTTCAACAGAAAGGTCTCCAAACTATGATACAATAAAGGGTTAAATAACTACCGGTATTTATTGACCATATTAATTAATATACGCTGTACATTGTACTGATAAACTACCGTACCTTTAATTGAGATAAAGAACGTCAATTCTTTCTTGATGAAAACAATTGATTTAACATCGCTATTCTCATTGTCGATAACAAAAAACCTTTAAATTGCCGGTAGAAATTGTATTGATTTAGAACTCTGTAGACAGAACTAGTCAATTGTAAAATAGTATTACTTACGCATAACTGCCTTTAGTTAGCTTATTAAAGTATAATGAGTTATTTAAATACAATGTGGTTACTTCAAAACATGAAGCAAAAACATTGAATGATAGAGTTATTTACAATCATATAGAAAAAAAGCTTGCAAATAGTTTTTTATATCTTTTAAGCCATAACAAATTTTAAAATAAATATTTTTATTGGGTAAAATGGGTTTTAACAGTTTAGCAGTGATTAATGGTACATTATACTGATTGCGAAATTTACAAAAATGTATTTCCCATGCAGGTGATTTCTTTAAGTTCTATTTTAAAATTTAAACAATGTGCAATTCTGACCTCATGTTCAATTGTTGATTGAAAAGCGTTTCGACGCATTTCATTTTGGTTATTTTCACAATTAGAATAATTTTCCTTGAACTGAAAATTTGCACACATAAAAGTTACTGATCTCTACCTTCATCAAATAGAACATTAATCATGAAAAATTATTTCCAGTCCTGCCTTGTCAAAAAACCTCAGTGGTGTCCCTTTTAGTTAATAAATCTGTTTAAACTAATAATTGAGTAAGGGTCCTAACTAAATCAATAACCAGTCACTACAAAATATACATTAAAAAAATTCTACATATATACTACAAATTTCAATCATTCTACCACCTTTACAAATTCAAATAGTTTTATACATTAAACATTTTGTATCCATACAAAACAAATCTTAATGCCTCATTTCTATTTATAAGATCTCCATCCATCACTACATAAAAACGTTATCAATAAAATTTCAATTGAAAATTTGTACTAAAATTAAAGCACAATTTTGCTCATTTTTTTCATATTCAAATAATTTAATCCATTAAACAAAACTCAGCTGCAAAAATACACACCTCAGTAAAAACAGACCTTGAAAGGTTTAATTTAAATATTTTTCTTTTACAGGATTAAATTGACCCAATTAAACAAAAGTACATGAAATATTCAAAGCATTACAAATGAGACCAAAGAACTTGCTCTCACAGAATATTTTAAAAACCTATATTGGCCTTGAAAGTTTAAATAACCTATCCCAGCGTGGTTAAACATTAGCCCCGTAAGAAATTAAATATTGTAAGAAGTTAAATATTGGGCAATATTTTATTAAGGTTAAAGAGATCATACCTTAAAATATGAATTACCAATTTCCAAAAATGAAATTTCATGCTCGATATTTGCTTATCCAAAATTTTAAGCCTTTATACAAAGCAAAAGAAACTGTTAGAGCTTGTAAATTAAGTATGTAGGTAAACAAATATGTGATTGTGAAAATTTTCAAGGTGAAAACTGAACAAGTGTTTGTGTTTAAACAATAAACAATCAATCTTTGAGTGTGTAAACTTAAAATGCTGTTAAATAAATTTATAGAAGGTAACTTTATATCATTTATAAACATGTCAATTAACAAGAGCTGTCGGTAGGACAGCACGCTCGACTATTCTATGTGCTTGATAGTATGACCCTCCAATTATGACCCTAAGTGCATGTGTAAAGTTTCAAGTAAATATCTTTGAAGACCTTTAACCTTTAGCAATTCTAAGTTTCAAAGGGGCAAATAATTCTGCAAATATTGCAGGCAGAGTTGTGCAATTTTGCAAACTGATGTACATTGTTACTATAAAAAAGTATTTTAAATTTCAACTGAATATCTCAAGCAATAATTGAGATATTTGAATTTACAAAAAAACTTTAACCAAAATTTTTAAGTTCCAAGGGGGCATAATTCTGTCAGTATTGAAGGCAGAGTTATCCAACTTGTCAATCTGATGTACCTTGTTACTATAAATAAGTATTGTAAGTTTCAATTGAATATCTCAAACAATAATTGAGATATTTGACTTTACAAAAACTTTAACCAAAAGTTCTAAGTTAAAAAGGGGCATAATTCTGTAAATATTGCAGGCAGAGTTATCCAACTTGTCAATCTGATGTACCTTGTTACTATAAACATGTATTGTAAGTTTCAATTGAATATCTCAAGCAATAATTGAGATATTTGACTTTACAAAAAACTTTAACCAAAATTTCTAAGTTAAAAAGGGGCATAATTCTGTCAATATTGTAGGCAGAGTTATCCAACTTGTCCATCTGATGTACTTTGTTACTATAAATAAGTATTGTAAGTTTCAATTGAATATCTCAAGTAATAATTGAGATATTTGACTTTACAAAAAACTTTAACCAACGCAGACGCGGACGCGGACGCGGACGCCGACGCCGGGGCGACTACAATAGCTCTCATATTCTTCGAATAGTCGAGCTAAAAACAAAGAAGGCTATAAACAAAATACCTAAATATCTCTTATCTTAGCATGAAATTATATTAAAGGCCCATTACGCCTCAAAGCCTTTATTCATTTTCTTGGTTGTGTAATATGTCACACCAACACAATAGCTTTAATGAAGGATACCTCAGTTGCTCCTGTGTGCATTATTTCAGGCTCAATCCAGCACCTGAGTACAACCTCCAACGTTCCTTACGCTAGCTGGATTATTTCTATTAGCTTCCTCACATGAAATTATTTGAGCTGCGTCACGACAAAACCAACATAGTGCGTTTGCGACCAGCATGGATCCAGACCAGTCTGATCAGGATCCATGCTGTTCGCTATCAGTTTCTCTACTTGTTATAGATTTTGGTAAGCGAACAGCATGGATCCTGATCAGACTGCGCTGATGCGCAGGCTGGTCTGGATCCATGCTGGTCCCAAACACACTATGTTGGTTTTGTAGTGACGCAGCTCATTTAAACATTATGAAACTCATGTTTGCCCTTTCTAGAGAAGGGAAAATCTATTTATTTCTGAGTCATACTGTGCCAAAGATTCCATTTTAAAGATCATTAGCAAATATATCATGTACTCGTAAAGTGAAGTATA